TATATATATATATATAATATATATATATATATAAAGATGGAGGGGGCCCCTATAGGGGGCCCCTGTAATATAGGTAATATAGGGTATCAATTATGGGTTGGAAATATTCCATTTGAGGCATCCGAAAATGAAATCAAAGATATTCTATCCATTGCTGGTCATGTTATCAGTGTTAGGCTCAAATATGACTCAGAATCAGGTAAGGGAGAGAAGGAGAGGGAGAGGGACAGGAAGAGGGAGAGGGAGAGGGAGAGGAAGGGAGGGAGAGGGAGAGGGACAGGGACAGGGACAGGGACAGGGAGAGAGGGAGAGAGAAACAAGGTAGATTGATAGATAGATTGTACTATCCATTGCTGGTAAAGTTATTAGTGTTAGGGTTAAATATGACTCCGAATCAGGTAAGGGAGAGAAGGAGAGGGAGAGGGAGAGAAAGGGAGAGAAAGGGAGAGGGAGAGGAAGGGAGAGGGAGAGAGAGAGGGAGGAAATGAGGGAGGGAGGCAGTTACGGTTTAGTTTTTGTATCCTATTTAGTGTTTAGGGTTTAGGGTTTAGGGTTTAGGGTTTAGGGTTTAGGGTTTAGGGTTTAGGGTTTAGACATATATATATATATATATATATGTATATATTCAGGTCAATCAAAGGGATTTGGATTTGTAGGTTTCCCTGATGTAGAGAGTTGTTTGCTGCTGCTGCAGCAGCAGCAGCAGCAACCAATTGAGCTTCGTGGTCGTCGTCTTAAGTTAGATTGGGCTACAGCTGAATTAAGAGAAATGTATGGTAATGCTGCAGCAGCAAATAATAATCCTGCTGCTGCTGCTGCTGCTGCTGCTTCAAGACAAACCAAAGAAGGAAAATGTAAGTTCCTGCTCCTGTTGCTGCTGCTGTTGCTGCTGCTGCTGCACTGCAGAAACGTATTGGGTCATTAAGTGCATTTGCTGCTGCTGCTGCTGCTGCTGCTGCTGTTTGTGTTCAGCAGCAAAACAAGAAGGTCGTGGTGGTAAAGGGAGATTGACAGGATCTGCTGCTGCTGCTGCATCTGCTGCAGCAGCAGCTGCTGCTGCTGCTGGTCTCCCTGGAGGCCGTGACGCTGGTGTAGCAGCAGCAGCAGCAGCATCCTTAATGGGTTATGCTCCCTCGGATCCTTTTGCTGCTGCACCTGGCGTGCTGCCCTCATTTGTATGCGAATTTATGCAGTGTCTATCCACCTCGCAGCTGCTGCAGCTGCTGCATGCGCTGCAGCAGCTCGCGCTGCAGCAGCCCCTTATCTGCCGTCGCTTCCTTACAGATAATCCTTCATTAACTTATGCTGCTACTTATGCCATGTTCTTAATAGGGGGCATCAGCAGCAAAGATCTTGCTGCTGCAGAAGCAGATGCTCAGCAGCACAAACAGCAGCAGCAGCAGCAGCAGCAGCAGCAGCAGCAGCAGCAGCAAGTTGCAGCTACCTTTGATGCACTTAAAAGGCTACCAGAGTTCGAGAGGCAGCAACTGCAGCGCAACAGAGAAGAAAGGCAGCAGCAACTTAAGGCAGCAAATATGCTGCCTACACAACGCGCACCTCCTGCAGCAGCAGCAGGCAGCAGCAGCAGCAGCAGCAGCAGCAGCGGCACTAGTGGTATTGCTACACCAGCAACAACAACGATGACCCCACCGCAACAGCAACAGCAGCAGCAACCGCATATCATGCAAGCACAACCCATGCTGCAGCAGCAGCAGTTGCAGCAGCAGCAACCGCAGGTACAGCAGCAGCAGCAGCAGCAGCAGCCGCAGTTGCTGCAACCACATCAGTTAACCCAGCCGCAGACTTTGCAGCAGCAGCAACCGATGCAGCAGCAGCAAACATTGCAGCCACAGCAGCAGCTGCTGCAGCAACAGCAACCTATGCAGCAGCAGCAACCATTACAACAGCAGCAGCAACCGTTGAAGCACCAACAGTCGCTGCAGCAGCAGCAGCAGCCACTGCAGCAGCAACAGCTGCAGCAGCAGCATCAGCTCTTGCAGCAACAGCAACCAATGCAGCAACAACCACAGATACATCAGCCACAGCTACAGCAGCAGCAGCTGCAGCCGCAGCAGCAGCAGCAGCAGCAGCAGCAGCAGCAGCAAGCTATGCTGCAGCAACCTGCTGCTATAGCACCGCACCTCTCTACTGGTATGTCTACGGATGCTACTCACGGGGCAGCAGCAGCAACAGCAGCAGCAGGAGCAACAACAGCAGCAACAGCAGCACCACAATGCCGTTGGCCTCCTACTATGGGTCCTGTAGTTATACAGCCCCAGGGGGCCCCTGAGGGGCCCCTCCTGTCTTCGTCTGCTGCTGCTCCTGCTGCTGCTGCTGCTCCTGCAGCAGGACGAGCAGCGGTTTCACAGCCAATGGGAAGCGTCCTTTCGCCTCGTGGAGCAGCAGCAGCAGCAGGAGCAGCAGCAGCTCCAGCAGCAGCAGCAGCAGCAGCAGCAGCAGGAGGGCCGATGCCTGGCGATGTTGCTGCAGGTGGGGGGGGCCCATCTGCGGGGCCCCAGGGGGGCCCCCTGGGGGCCCCCACACGCCAGTGGGTTGCTGCGTCTAAAGCAGCAGCTCCTACTGCAGTACCTCTGCTGCAGCAAAGCAGAGGGTATTCACAAGGGGGCCCCCTCCCCTCACAAGCAGGAGCAGCAGCAGGAGCAGCAGGTGCAGCAGCAGGAGGACTTGGGGGCCCACAGCAGCAGACGGCGACGGGTCTTGGAGAAGCAGCAGGAGGGATTAGGGGTATGTTATAATAAATCCTAAACCCTAAACCCTAAACCCTAACACCCCACACATGGGGATCGATCGATCCCCACAGCAGTTATTGCTGCAGCACGTACTGCAAGTGTCTCCTTTTTTCTTCCTTTTGTTGTCTCCTTGCTGCAGCTGCCTTCTGTCTCCTTTTTATATTTATTTGTCCCCTTTTGTCTCTCTGTCTTTTGTTATTTGCTGCAGCAGCACCAACAGCAGCAACAACAGCAACAGCAGCAACAGCAGCAGCAACAACAGCACCACTACCAGCAAATAGGCCTCAGCCTACTCACCCTGCATGGGATGTCCCTCCTGCTGCTGCTGCTCTTGTCGGTAAGCCCTCGGGTGTATATACACCCCAGACAGGACACTTCTTTGCTGCTGCTGTTGCTGCTGCTGCTGCTGCTGTTTCTTCTGTTGTTGCTGCTGCAGGGGGTTCTGCAGCATTAGTACTCCTACCTCCCCCAGCACCAGCAGCAGCTCCTGCTGCTGCTGCTGCTGCTGCTGCTGCTGCTGTATAGTAAAGATTATATTTATTATTGTTTGTTGTGTACAGATGAGGTGGTGAAGGTACCAACGATGCTGAGCAAGTAACTCAAACCCTAAACCCTAAACCCTAAACCCTTAAATTTTTTTTGTCTCCTTTTTCTTGTAGAGACACGCATCCCTTTCCTTAGCAGCAAATGTATGAGTGCATGCATGCATGCATGCATTCCTTTCTTTTTTTCTGCTGCTGTTTTTGCTGCTGCTGCTGCTGCAGTGTACTAAATTCAACACCTAGCCGTATGGCTGCATGGACACCTGAGCAAAGGAGACAGGTCCTCTCCCTTCAATCCGTAAGTCCAACTGTCTCCTTTTATTGTCTCCTTTTTATTGTCTCCTTTTTGTCTCCTTTTTATTGTCTCCTTTTTATTGTTTCCTTTATTGCAACAAGACAATGCATGCGTTTTGCTGCTGCAGGCTCTCCTCCGTCGTGGCTACAGGGTAGCGATGTAAACCCTTGGGGCTTTTTATTTTCTTTTCTTTTTTTCTTTCTTTTATCTATTTATTTATATTTGTTCAATATACTATTTTATTTATTTATTTATTTATTTATTTATTTATTTATCTATTTATTGTCTATGCTTCGCCGCTATATTTACAGTGTATATACATCTGTATATATATATATATATATATATATATA